CCTGTGGGGCAGTGACCCCTCAGCACCGCTCCTGTGGGGCAGTGACCCCCCAGCACCGCTCCTGTGGGGCAGCCAGTGTCCCCTCAGCACCTTTCCTGTGGGGCAGTGTCCCCTCAGCACCGCTCCCGCGGGTCCCCACCTGCGCCGCTGCCCCTCGCCTCCGTTGCCGTTGCCGTTGCCGTTGCCGTTGCCGTTGCCGTTGCCCTCGATGTTGCCGTTGCCGTGCCGGTGCCGTTGCCGTGCCGGTGCCTCTGGCGGCGGGGCGAGCCGGCGGTGCCCTCCCTGGCCCGGCCTTGCCCAGCGCTCCTCCCGAGCACCCATTGTCCCCTCCTGCGCGCCGGAGAGCCCCGTGGGCCCGGCGAGACGGCATCGCCCCTTCCTCAAGAGAAAGRGGGGCGCGCTGTTGGGATGCAAAGGTACCTTAAGAATCGGCTGTGCCCCTTACCTGTCAGTGATACAGTGATATGTCCGTGCGCACGGACAGTAACCTTCCCCATGAGGTTACTGTCAGAACCAGATGGACAAGAAACCTGGAGATCTCTGGAGAGCTTTAGATCCTCCAGTTGATTTCTTCCTGGGTGTTTCCATTAATTTTTTTCTTTTCTTTTTTTTTTTTTTTTTTTTTTTTTTTTTTTTTTTTTTTTTTTTTTTTTTTTTTTTTTTTTTTCTAAGTGTTCATTTAATCTGACTGTATGTGAAGCTGTTTTGGCAATGCATCGTTAAACACTGTAGAAAAGCCACATTTTTGGATAACCACGTTCAGATGAAGAATGAACCRATTACTCTTGCATCATACCACAGGAGAAAACACTATTGCACTTGAGACAGCACTTCACAGAATATCAGAGACAGTGCAACAGATGTATGGAACAATCATGTTCAAATAATGAATTSAGCAAAACTGAGTGATCATGTGACTGTSTGTACAGGTGCAYAYGTAGAYACGTACACAGACACATATACATAAYTATAATTTGCACATTTTGTTTYAAAAAATCATACAGATAGAAATGTTACCTTTTTAATATGCTGAGTAAATATCARCAGTAGCAACTTTCATTAAAAAAAGGCCTGACAGAAATGATCAAAAATTGAACATATCCATGGGCATCATTTGTAAATATGCCAGTGTGTATTTTCTTCTGTTGCTGGCAATGGAATTTCAGAGAGTAGTTACTCTTAGTCTATAGTTATTTTATACACTCTTTGGAGAATATTACCTAGCCATGTGTGTCTGGTAATGAGAATCAAAGGCTAWATTTCAACCTTTTTAATTCAAGCAGACATGAAATCCCTCCATTATCCATTCTGGAGCAAGTGACTGATTACGTCTGAATTCCAAGGGAGATTTTGTCTTTGCATGTGCAAAAGGCCTAGAGCTTTCTTCTCTATAAGACCCACAGCCTCAAACTGAGAGTTCACCATCTCTGACAGACCTTTGCTTCAGCATCACAGTTGCGACCTGTGGCTTTGGTACCCCACAGTCACCACAGACAAAATTCTTAATTTTAGCTTCCCAAAACTTGCTATCAGATTGGCTTATTTTTAAAAGAAAGCAATAAATTTTCCAATTTTCAAAAAAAATCTGGTTATAGTTTATAAAATAAAGCAACCACTATCCATCAGTGAGGGCTAATTAGCATGCTAATTAGCATTGCACTCTGTACTTTGTAAATAAAGAATGCATAACAAGTTTCAGTCCTCAAACCCACACTTTAATGACAGTGGCACAACCCATAGAGTGGGAAATAATTAAAGGAAATAGGACACACAGTTCCACAATGACATAATTACAGGACTTTTTAAAAGAGATGTGCTGGAGAGAAGCTTCTTTAGATACCACAGGAACACTGCTGAGTGTTTGTCACAGTTCATGACTTCATCTGCTCTAAAGGTATAATTGAACCTTTCATTTCCATGTCAGAAATTCAAGACTCCAAAGTGTTTCTTTGTTCATTGGTTAATTTTGGCAGCAGCTTGCTGTTGCAAAAGCTGCAGTTTTGCYGTGACCCTGTCAATACACTGTTCCTTCCCCATCCTTGTATGAACTACTTAGTGCAGTGCTGATCAGATTTAATTTCTCCAGCAGTCCTCAGACAGTCTCTGCCTTACACAGAACTGCATATTCAGCAGAGACAGAGTATTGTGTTTTCAGATCTAAAATTTCATTTTCCCAAACAATAATGAATGTTGTAATTTCAGTCTATATCGAGGCCAGAATAGTTGTCACATTTTAAAGTAGAAAGACTTCTTTAGCGAAAAGAATCAGAGATGGAGCATTATTTCCTAGTACCAGTTCCCTCTAAGTGTTTTTAGGCTAGTGAATGCCCTTTCGTTCAGAAATATCGCCTTTTGTTTACATCTGAAAGTCTTATTCCATCTGCATACAGATTCCTTGGCTAAGAACAACGTTATACAATCAGAATAAGTAGGTTGCAGCATTGTTCCTGTAACTATTTCCCAAAGTTATGTACAAATATGACAGATGTTACATAGACARTCCCCATGATCCAAGACAGCTCTCCCGTTACTCTGGGACACCMAGTCTTTCGGGCCAAGCCAGCAGAGCTGCAGTAGTCAGTTGTGCGGCGACACTGACATCTAGTGGGCTCCAACTACACYTCCAGCTTTCCCAAATGTTCCAAAAATCGGTCACAGCATCTCTTTTCGAGATGCTCTGACCTTGATATAAACGCATATTTAAAAGTACAATAAAATACGAATAGTTGGAGGTTGAATTTAGTAATTAAGGCTGACTCTTACTAGAGTAGCACGAAGAATATTTGTTTTAATTAGGAGCTTAGGTTCACTGAGCTCTGCTGATAGTAAAAACTCTGAAGAAATCAGTTCAAGTTATGTAGGATTGAGCACTTTCCCAAACACCTGTGCAAAAGACAGATAAAATTTGCTGTCGTGCTTTCTGACAAGCAAGCACAAAATGACAGGGTAGGGCTGTTTGACTCCCATYATTATCTTTACATGTATACATGTATATATACGCATGGATGTTCAAAAGCTATGTGGGCTGCACTCCAAGCTGCCGACACAACTGCCACATGCTAGCTTAGACCAGCTAGAAAAGATGGGATAGGTGATGTCAAAACCATAAAAGCTGTGTTACTCAATATGATCTACCAAAAAGTTCTTAAAATAATTTCAGCTTCCTACGTAGACTTCATGATGTTCCATGAAGAAAGTAAGTTTAATTATTCCTATGCTTCTCCTATGTTAACACATTTGGAGAAGCTGTAGTACCATGTGATGAAACTACTTTCTCACAGTCACTACTAGGGAAGTGGTAAAGTTGCAAATATTCCTCCAGTTATTAACATATCATTGAACAGTAAAAGGAAGAAACATAAAAAAAAAATTGTTTCTATTTCCACAGGGGACAGTTCTTCCAAAATTAAGATAGCCAACTTCTTCTAAGATGGACAGCTGTGGTGTAAGATTAAATTACTATCCTTCCTCCAGGAAGTACGATACTGAAAGGACAGAGACCATGAAAACAACACGTGATATAYCTAGTTCAGTTCCTGAAATTTCAAMTTTTGCCTACTGAATGTTTTGCCAGTTGCTGCCTGCAGTCCTAGTACAACTCCAGGTCGAATGTTTAGGGGAAGAACAGCAACAGCTGCCACAAGGACCACTGAAAGGGCATAYTAATGTGAAAAGGAGCATTAATTTTCCCTCAGATCACTGTAGTTTCTGAGAGGAAGTGTGCTGTTGAGAACAGCTGCTTTCTGGTTCTGTCAAATCCAGTCCCCACATTTTTCATGAAAGCCTGATTGTACACAGGCCAGGCAGCTGGCACTACTGATTTTATAATCTTTGCCTGGTTATTATCAAGCTAAGCTTACAGTTGTTAATGTTGGCAAAGAATCTATAGAGTCATACACAAACAAACCATCTTACCTATTYTAGTAAAACAAGTTTTGGTTATTAAATAGAGATTCTGCTCCTTTTATTTTTATACACTAATAAATTTTAAATCAAATTTATACACATTTATCTGGAAAATCTGGTTCCAGGATTACTATCATTCTTCAAAGTATTACCTGGAGTTCTGCAAAGTTTTGAGTAGTAATACATTGCCAGAACTCTTAATTTCCCATTGTAACATTGCTTTRAATGATTACAAAAATAAGTTTATTCAGAAAACAGCTGTTTTATGCAAATATATGCTGCAGTGACATAACTGTGAGTGGGAAGAGAAGTGGTGTATATACACACAGAGACACAAGATGTGACCCATAAACCTCAGTGCATTACAGAACTAAATAGGTATGAATTCCTTCATGGGCACTACATTATTGGGATTAGATGTGCTACCAGAATGTATTTGTTTCACAGTGTTTTCACAGGATGTAAACTGACAATGGAGGCATTTCTGGGATTGTGTTTTTCAATCTTTGATTCTAAGGCCTTTGGTTAAAACCCTATCTTCCCATACAGAAAATAGCACTAACAGTCAATTGAGAATCATTCCAGTTATAATCTATTATTCTTTATATAATAATATTTTAATTAGACTATAAACCTTTATATTAATATCATTCTGGATGGTTGGTTGGTTGTTTTGAAACTTCCATATGAATTCTGTTTCTAGTCAAAGGAAGGGATGCTTCAGGGTCCATTATATCCAACACTACAACGCTACAAAAAAGTTGTTTCTTCTTTTGGRGTATTTTACATGAAAGGTTGAAGATTAGACAGTGGACAAAGTACGTGGTTCACCAACAGTTTTTAGTACATTGGTCACCTATCCTTTTCTTAATTCTCAGAGACTGGGCACGTGACAGGCTTTAATTTCTTTTTCAGACTGAAACAATTCTTCAACCTGACAATATTATGGCTCCAGTACCTTATAAGAGAGTATCCCTGCTGTCTACCCCACACTTCTGAGGACAGCTGCTGTTTGATATTGCTCTTCCAGCACAGCTCCTCAGTCCTTGCACCTGATTTCATCAGAATGTGTTGGTGTATATCTCTACACACTGTGCATGCTTTGAATATACCTTCAGCACTCCCCTTGCCAGTATCTGCTTTGTAACTGAGCCTGTGTGCTAAGGTATCACTTTCCTTATCTGAGCCAGATGTATCAGTTTATCCCATACCCAAATCCCTGACAAAGCTTTTCGCTCTGCACAGTAATTGTAAAGAGGGACTTGATTTCCTACTTGAACCAGGTTTTGAAGCCTCAAATAAAGACAGCCCGAATGTAGTAGATTCTCAAAATGATTTCTCAAAATGGCAACAGCAATCTGCAAAATGGGGCGGTTAACACACTGTAGGATGCCAAAAAACTTTCCAGAGTTTGTCCTGAACAGTATCTAATCGGCCTACAGAAAGAGAATGTTGAGAAAGGGAGAAATTCAGTAGTGTTTTAATAGTAGGATACTGTGGAATTTAGAAAGCATGGACTTCCAGGCTGTGAACCCAATTAACTGGATTTTTTTTTATATTAAAGTACAAAATAGGCAAAAAATTCAAACTAGAGTTTGATGTGAAATATATAATCATGCAGTAGAACAGATGATCCTCTTGAATAAGTGTAGCAATCAGTAGCTGAAGAGTTATTTCCTCCCTCTCACTCACAATCTGACTGCTTAACATTAATGAAAAGAGGAAGGATGTTCRAAGTGAGAACTGAAACACCAGATCCAGTGCCCCACATATGCCAAGCAGCCCATCTGCTAGTGCTGGAAGTACTGGCTACTTAAAGCACTTTCCTAAGAAATAGTACCAYTCTGTTTGGGGTGCCTCAGGAAAGCAGCAACTAGAAGCAGGTATTCCAAATCCTACAAGACCACTCTAACCCATGGGGGCTTAAAGGATAGGAGTCTTGCTCCTCTTCCATTTAGCCATTTCTGAAGGAAAAGCAATGCCAAGGATGTCAGACAAAGGTACAGAAAGCAGCACTTTCCTCTCTGGCAGTTGAGGCTCATGTGTCATGGGCAGCAGCAGGCTGCAAGCTTCTGGGAAGAATTAACAGTATTTTGATTTGGGAAGAGTTAGACCAACTTGATGGCTGTGCATTCCAGACAGAACACATTACACATCCAAGGCATTATTGAGGTGCATTGCAGCTGAGGTGGTGCTTCTGCTTCAAGCCCAGATACCACTGCTTTCAGTTGTTTGGCATCTTTTTTTGTGGAACTCCATGAACAGGAGCTGCTGGAACTTAGCACCAGTGGAAGTTATGAAGTGAAACAATTGCATCTGTATATATCCAAATTTAAAACCTTTGATGTTGCTATGTTTTCACATATGCAAAATGGATATCACAATGAATTGCAATCAGCACTTACATGACTTACATATAGCACTGAGCATCAAAACAGGGAGTTGTGGGACTTCTATATGCCAGGAACACTAATTTAAGAAATAGAAACAAACTTGCCATGTAGCTTTTACATGCAAACACTTATACCCATATATAAGCAAGACAATAAAAGCTGAAAAAGGTAAAATGATTCAAGAAAAGGAAACTCATACACATAATAGCTTTCCAGCCCTGTTCTTATCAGGATAAAAGGTACAATAGGAACTTTACACAGCCTGGGTTTTGTTTTGGTTTTAATTCCTGGAATTTGACCAGCWTGTAAGCAAGATTGCTTCGATTGTTAGTTATTTCCCTTCTCTGGAATTCACTTCTTGTCGTAATGCCATAGGATTTCCTCTGACTTTATCAAATTCAGCCACACATTACTTGCAATTTGGATTATGAAATAAATTATTAAACTGAATGACCAGGGTAATTTTCAAGCTGGGTATATTAAGTTGTTGCCCATGATGCCACTATGTAAATGTTTTCTAATTCCAGGCCATGTCAAAGCTCCTTTTTCTTCTCAAACATTCAAAAATCATGAGAGAGATGTTAAAATAATGGAAATTACCACAAGTAGAGACTATTTKCTCCTAATATGCTTGATTGTGTTTTGCTACTGTACTCAAAGTTTTCAAAAACTCTCTTCTYGACGTTTTGGTGCTATCGTCTAGTTGCATCTCAATAGATGTTTATCCGAACATCTTTTAATAAAGTCTTTTCGTTTCCTGAACGACCTCTTAAAAATTCATTCCCAACTTACATTTTGACGGTCTATCCAAAAACTATTTTTCGTGAAGGCAAGGTTTGATTTACAAAACTGGGGACACAAGAAACGGGAGTGGGGGCGGGACTTGTCCTCCCAGAGCCGGGTCCGAGCGTGCCAGATCCCGGGACAGGTCGGGCCGCGGTCCCTGGGAGCAGCGGGATTTCCACGCGTGGGGCTCGGACAGACGTGCCCGGGAGGTCACCTCCGCCCGTCCGAGGGGAACTCTGCCTGTGCCGCCCACCCCGACAGCGAGTCCTTAGGGCAAAGGCCACAGCCAGCTCTAAGAGCCTCCCTCACCCAGAGCTGACGAGCGGACCCGCCCCTTAGCAGCCGCAGCCTTGGGACCGCCGATACCGCCCGGGACGAACACCATGCCGGGCTACAAGGACCAAGCCGCTCACCCCATCCCGCCCGCAAACCCCCATACCCTGATGCCCCGCCCGCCGCTCCTCACGCCAGCGCCGGGCGGAGCAGAGCTGGAGCGGGGAGARGTGGGGCGGGACAGGGCTGGGACGGGGCGGAGCGGGGCCGGGCAGAGCGGGASCGGGGCGGGGCGGCCGCCGGCACCGCCCCCCGGCCGATCCGGGCCTTAAGCTGACGCCGCGGCCCCGCCAATCCGCTGCGGCCGGGCCGGGTCCGGCACCGCCCCCGGCGGCGCCCACAGGGACGGGCCGGAGCGGCGGCCGCCGCCGCGGGTGCCCGGGCTGAGTCAGCGCCCCCGCCCAACATGAACATCATGGATTTCAATGTGAAGAAGCTGGCGGCTGACGCGGGCACCTTCCTCAGCCGCGCCGTACAGGTATGGACCGCCCACCCCTGCCGGGACCTCGCCGGGACGGGGCTTTGCCGGGGCAGCCCTAACCGAGGGGCCGAGGCCGCGGGTGGCTCCGTTGAGCCGCCGCCGCCGCCGCTGGGCCCGGCGTGGGGCGCTGGTCGGGGCGCTCGGCTCCGCCCCGGGGTCCGGGAGGGGCCGGGCCCGCCGCTGGGTCCCAGCTTGGAGGGAGTGCCGGGCCCGGCTGTGCCGGCCGGGGCGAGGCCGGAGCGAGGCCGGAGCACTGGCCGGGCCGGTCGGCAGTGGGCTGCTGTGAGCTGCCTCTTCAGCGGGCCTCTTCGGCCTCAGGATGGGCAGGTCCGGCCGTTCGCCAGGCWGGCTGCACAACAGCAGCCTCGGGGGGCTGGCGGGGGTGACACTGCCCAAGGTCAGACAGGGAAAGAGGGAACAAGGCGCCAGCCCTGGGGGGATGAGGMGCGCAGGCATCAGCTGTCGGGAGATATGGCCGGACTTTGTGCATGCAAAGGACAAAGGTGTGTCTCGCCTGAAATAAGCAGCTGGATTTTCCTGGCTGCTAGAAATGTATCCATATCGCTGCCTGATCGGTAAAAGTCGAGCTGTGATGTGACACATGGAAGTCCGGTGTATGTCTGCTTAGGCTTTTTGGTTTGTTTTACCTTTCGTATCGTTTTAAAGCTTGTTTGATAGCCCATTGTTTCCGATTCGGTCTTCCCCTTCGCAGTAAGGGCACTGTAACTGTCTTTTGTTCCTTAGCGCCTGTCATGAGCCGTAATCCCCTTTCTTTATGTAATCAAGCATGAGCAGATTTCCTGTATGGATATGGGCATCCCAGCAGTGCATAGTAATCCACTTTGGTTTCTTATGAGTTCTCGCTGGGTCACAGTCAGGTTTGCAACGTGCTTAGCGTTGTTATCTGGTCTGATCTGTCTGATGTATTGCCCTAAATCTCAATATTCAAGCAGAACYAATGATCAGCAGCACAGCAGAGCTCTGAAAATGCAAACTGGTCAAAAAACGTTGTTCAAATTTAAATGAACTTAAAGCTCTTGTGTCTTCTCTTTGTGATGATGGTATTTCCATGCTTCCCCCACTGCTCCTGGCTTTTTCCAGGTCTGTCTGCTTCCCAGACCGACTCTTCCTTTTCGGCCTCCACTTTCTCTTTTCTTGTTGGACAAGAGAAAAATASATGTATTTCACCCTTCATTGTATGATCTTGTGATGGGACTTTGTGATTTCATTTAAGTGTATGTGTGAAATCTGACATTGTAGTCTTCACTAAGCCATCTTCACACTGCTGAGAAGATATATGGAAATATTARTAATTTTACATACAAATACTCTTCTCTGTAATTAGTAAAAATAATTCCTGAACTATTTTTACTGTGTTGTAATGAATCTGTACAAAGTTTTTGAGAACATCTGGCATAGTTCTAAAAGCCTTTTAAACAGTCATAGTAGTCGGTCCATGAATAAATTCCCTTCTTCCGTATACTGAGCTGAATTTTCTCAGGACTGCAATTTGGTTTTACGTAGAACTGCAAATGCCAAAAGGGTTTATCAAGATCTGCAAAGTTGGTTAATCTACCTGTGATGGAAACTAAAACAAATGTGGACAATGCAATTTACTTCTATTGTATCTTTGTTTCTTACTGGCCACCAAAGAACTTGTTTAGTTGAAGTTGGACAGTCAGGATGCTTCCAGTCCTGTTGTGTTCCTAATTGGTAAATTTGTTAGAGACTTAATAATAAGCCAGAATCTCCTGAAAATGCCTGACTTTRAGCAACGGGCTGTCAAGGGATGAGATCATCATTGTTATGAGGAACTACTGCTCTGAAGAGAGGCAGGCAAAGCCCTCGCTTCCGGCTTTGCTTGCTTCCCTGATGTGAAATGTRTAGCTTCTCCCTGTCTGGGGTTGAAGAACAGACTGCTTGTGGATCAGTAAGACTTAGCATGAATTTTGTATCAAGTGAAATGAATTGTCTGATGGATTTATTTAGTTAAATGAAGTTATATTGTACTTCATGGTCACAAGTCACAGCTTGGACAAGAAGAGCAGAGGTCATTTTAGTGATTCTCTAAGGCATAATAGGGTCAATTATATCGAAACAGTTCATCAAACATTGGTTTGTCCTATTCTAAAGAGCAGAACACCCCCCACTCCCAAAGATRTATATTTCAAAACTTCCCAAGAAAGTTTGTTTTAGCTTTTAATCCTTGCCTTTAGAAGCTTTCTCTAGTGTCTAATTATAATTTAAATCTTCTTACTGAAGTTTAAACTCCCTATTTTTGTCCTGTTTCCTCTGGACAGGACATTTTTTTTTTTCAATATGTTCAAGCTAGCTGTGATGGGAATCTGTTTTGTCTTCGGGTTTTACTCTGGGAGGATTGACAGACAATTACAAAATATACAAGATTTAAGTTATCTTTTAATTTTCTTTATTACCTCTGGACTTTMTTTCATGTTGGTTCATGTTTTAAAGCACACTGCAAAATTGGGCAAAAATGTTTCATGTGATAATTGTCAGTACTAAGTTGAGCAGAGAATTTCTTCATTGTGTTATAAATTATATTTCTCGTCTTGGTCTGATTAAYATCCTCCTGCCCCTTTTTTTACCTGATGTGTTATGTAGTATGGATATGTTGTTGAACTTAATAACTTTCAGACTTGCCCTTAGATTTTTATTGATGACTGGCTAATAGTTATATCTTTTAAAACATCACCTTTAAACTAATATAGGTCACTGTTTTAAATTTGTCCTGGAAAATTATTTCTATGAATTGAGTATTTTTAACGTGCCTAACTTGCAGTTCACAGAAGAAAAGCTTGGTCAAGCAGAGAAGACTGAACTGGATGCTCATCTGGAGAACCTTCTCAGCAAAGCAGAATGCACTAAATTGTGGACAGAAAAAATAATGAAGCAAACAGAAGTATTATTGCAGCCAAATCCAAGTAAGRAGCCCTTCAAGTTTTTGTTTCCGACTTGGAATTAATAGATATGCCAGTGTAAATATTTACTGCAATAGCTATTGCATAAGTTGTGACTAAATATAGCAGTTTTAAAATTTGAAAGCTGCAATTATGGAAAGCACATTTTGAAGAGCTAGTAAGAATTGAAGAAATTGTACCAATTGCTGGTACTTCCTTAMCCTTTCAAATGGGGAAAACTTTATAGACAAAAACTTTATAGCGCTTTTTAAACTGTAGTATTGGTTCCATACTCCRGTCAGTCTCAGGTTGWTGGGTTTTTGTATTGTTTACTGTTWAATTGAATTTCCCACACTAATTCCAGTTATCTTGGGTAGCTGTAAGAACGCTGAAGTTCTTCATGGATTAGATATAGTGGCTCAAGAAACTTTATTACTATTTCATTACTTAAGCCCTCTGCACAATGCAATTCAGCTTGAAGCAGGCAAGATGAACTAAAATACCTGTCTTTAATGCTTCCGTTACTAAATAATTAGCACCCTACTTAGGCAATACAAAAAAAGTGTCAAATATGATTTCATCACTGTTGAGTCTCTAACAGTAACAGAAAAATGGATAGAAAAAARGTGAAGTATTATGGTGTGTTAATTTTGTTTCTGAAATTGCTGCTGTGAGTAGTAATGTTGAAGAGATCAGTTTCRGATTCATCCTACAGTTGTACAAGAGTTGGCAGATACAGGCATTTGCTAGTGTATAGACCTAGATTTCAAGTCAAGACATGGTCTCTAGTCATTGGGTGAACTACTTTACTGAAAAAATCTAAAGCTCCTTTAGGTTTGCTCACTCTGCATTGAAAATGTAAGTATTCTCCTTGTAGTGCAATACTGAGCTAGGATTTATTAGTGAAGGTAAATCAGCACTGCTAGCACTTCCCTAATGCAAAGTAGATAAATTCTTTATAACAAAGATGTTTGAAGTATTACTTTGGAAGTCTGTTGCATATTTTAGTTCCATAAAAAACAGTATTTCAAAAATAAAACCCAACTAATCCTGTGGGAAGGATGCAGTAGAACTTGCAGAATATTCTAGCTCAATTTTCTGCTTTGGTCTAGGCTGGAGGAAATAGTTGTCTTTTTCAGTCAATTCAGTATTTGTTCTATCTATTGGACTTTTTCAGAAACTTTATAAGCTTAGAATATTGAAGCATTAACTGGAGGCTAGTGGAAGTGTCTAAAGAAGTTTCAGTTGAACGATAATCTGTGGTAGTATCTCAGTTCTGCTCACCAGTCCATTTTCTGGTGGCTAAAAATACTCAGYATTGAGCAGTGGTCTTTGTGAATGTAACTTCAGCTGTTTGGTGGCCTACTTGGGAGAAGGGTCACATGCTGCAGAGAGCTGCTTTTGGTGGTTGCTAATGGAGTGACCCTTTCTGGGGGAGGAAAAATCACTTTCAATTCCATTTTTAATTGTACCTGTAGATCAGACCCATGTTATAGTCCAGTAATTTCAGATTACTTTTCATTTCTTTGGTGATTTAGTAAAAAATACATATTTTGTCTYGAGTAAAGAAAACAAATAACTTTTGATTATTTTTGGTTCACCTTATTGCTAGGGAATGCACTGGTACCCACAATTGTCTGTCTTAGAATAATTTTTGTGACCTTCATGAGAGAGTAGTTATTTAATCCACCGCTGTTCAAAGTTGTTTAATTAACAAGTAGTATTAAAGTGGTTGTCTGTACTATTGCAGGCTGAAATTAGTTCATACTGGCTGTATAAAGCCAGCTACATGGGAAATGAAAACCCCSCCTCAGTATTGTATCTGAGGGGTTTGCTATTTCAACTAACAGAGTCCCTGTTTAGGTGTGTGAGGCCTTTCCCCCTAAGAAGCTCACTGTGGCTTAGTATTATGATAGATGGGTATTAATGCTTCCATAGTCCYGCTAAGTTTTTCTGGTAATTTTATTGCTCAAACTAAGAATGTATGGTAATATGAAAAAAAAAAACATTTTCTAGTATTGTTTAATAGTTTCTTTCAGAGTGTTTCAAGGGATCATGGGGTGTGGGAAAGAGGATATAATTTCTGGGGCCACCAAACTTTCAGAATATCTTAATAGGGAACTTAGAGTAGTTGTTGAACTTAATACTGTTAATTCTAGTGAACAATTTTGATGATTTTTTTGTTTCTAGAGGGGGAACAGAAGACTTTGGTTTTTTAAGGAGAAGTATTWTGTTATTGCTCTTCCTGTGTAGACTTCTTATCAAAATTCTGAAGAGCTGTGTAACTATGCTAATGCAGAAGTATAATTTTTCACTTTCCYAGATGGCTGTAGGAAACACTTGAACATGGCATGGCAAACATGGAATGTGTCACTTTCCAAGAACAGGATCTTCAGCTTAATATTGTTCACTTAATGTTAACTTTAATGGCTGGATTTTGMATTTTTTTTTGTGTTCCTTTATTTTTGTTTGTTTCTATTTCTAACYTGTGCTTTGAATGACAGTAATTTTTTCAAATAAACCTTTTTTCAGATGCCAGAATAGAAGAATTTGTCTATGAGAAGCTGGACCGCAAAGCACCGAGTCGCATGAATAATCCAGAGTTACTGGGCCAGTATATGATTGATGCTGGGAACGAATTTGGCCCWGGAACAGCCTATGGTAAGATGTAAAAAGAGCACAGATATAGGATTTTTGAACAGTATAARATTATATCTTTTCTCTTCCTCTAGGTGAAACAGTTTAATGACATTTGTATCAGTTTGAGTTGACTTGCTGGGTAATTTTGAGCATTAGGAGATCAGTGATAAGGTTTCTATCCAAATAGTACGGAGTTGTCATAATTAGTACCTTTTCCACCATGTGGTCTCACTGAAATCTTGCCTTGACCTGTGATTGTTCGTAATAAAAATGATTTGGTTTGGTGTTTGTGGGGTTGTTTATTTTGGTGTGGGGTTTTTGTCTGTTTGTTTTTATGTTGCGGGTTTTGGTGTTTAGTTTTGAGTGGTTTTTTGGAGGAAAAGGGGTGGGGTGTTTTTTTTTTTTCGTTGTTGTTTTGTTTTGTTTGGGGTTTTCTTGTGTACATTTTTTTTCTTTCAGAGGCATGAAAAATGCCTCATGGCACTGGATTATCTTTCAAAGTGTTGGCCTAAAATTTCCTGACTGTAGCAACTTCTTTTGTTAACCTCGTGCTTGAACCATATGATTAACATATTTTTTCCRTTGCAGGAAATGCACTCATTAAATGTGGAGAAACACAAAAGCGAATTGGGACAGCAGACAGAGAACTAATTCAAACTTCTGCCATAAACTTTCTCACTCCCCTAAGAAACTTTATTGAAGGAGACTACAAAACTATTACTGTAAGTTGAATAGTACATTCATCAGTATTTAACACAAATTGTAACTTGTCTGTCTTCAAAATGTAGTAGTAGATAATGCATTATTACTTTYCTCAAGGTAATATAGAAAAATTCAAGTGACATTTGTGTGTTTGGTTTATTTTCTGTTCTTCTGCCAAGGTAAAAACGATGATGGAAATGTGTTTGTTAACTATCATTCTATTAGAAGTGTGTGTACTGAGTATAAACTGTGTGAGAATAATTAACAGACAATTTTGCATCTCTCTTCAACTGAAGAAATTTTTTTCATACGATCCTTCATTAAAAACATTTCCAAGTAGACAGTCTTTTGCTTGTGAATGTGCGTACCCATTCTCAYGAAGTAACCTTACTTGCTTTCAGAAAGAACGTAAACTGTTACAAAACAAAAGACTGGATTTGGATGCTGCAAAAACCAGACTGAAGAAGGCAAAAGTGGCAGAAGCTCGAGCTGCAGTAAGTAGAGGGGTTTTTAGATTTTGTCCATGACTTTCAGACTTATTGGTACATATTTATAGACTTGACTGCTTGTTTATGTTTCCAGTCCTATCTTCTTACCCTGGTTGTTTTTCTAGATACTTTTGTAAGAAATGCCTTAGTGGAACACAAGGAAATGAAAGTGAGTTACTGATCAAGGTGTTAGTCCTCTACTTTTAAATATTCCATCAAGTTGAACTTACTCACTCTCCTTTTACTGTATACTAGATGAGCCTATACTGCCAAAAATTACTTGCTGCAACCTGCCAATATGGGCATAAATACAAATATTTRAATCTCTGCAAATGTTGAAGTGTATGTATAATTACTTTCAACTGATGAACCTGTTTAAACTTCTCTATGTCAAAAATATTTGTGATTTCTTTTTATATATTCCTTACTATTTCACACCACCAGAGGCGAGACTCTTTAATCCACATCAATTAACCATTCTGATTCCCTCAAAAAATACTTGTTCAAGTATTTTATAAAAAGTTACTGCTTTTTAAATCTTAAAGTGCTCAAAATGAAGGAATAGATGACTGTGTGTAGTTTCATCAGTATATACTTACAGTATTTTCATAGCTATCTTATGAGTGCATTMTTAAAAGTGCAGCAGTTAATGATARACAGTGRAGTGATTTTTCCTATAAGGCTTAATGCAGTAGTGGTCATGCAAATAAAGAAATACACAGGGACAGTGTGTATGATGGAGAGRTAGAAGAAGGACTGTCAGATTTTACTGGCTTTCCAAATGGGTATCTGGCCTGGGTCTCAGAGGCATCATCTTGAGCTTTGGAGATGAAGTCCATTGCATCTTGTGATTGTGATCCATCTGAAAACAAGCATAATCTCTACCTGACAGTTCTGCTCTTGTATCTCAATTCATGCCATGCACATTGTCTCTGTGCATTTAAACCTTCTGTATTTTTAAGTTTTATGCAGGCATTTTCCTTTAAGTAAATTCTGTGCAAAAAAAAAAGTTACTTCTCTTTTACTTCTGTTTGTGAAGCTATCTTACTTTGTAAGTCTAACAGTGGAGAACAGTGAAGGGTTTTGATCAGTGAGTAATGCAATTTAGAAGTAAGAGACAGAGGAGCTTTGGATAGTAAACTATTCCTTTGCTTGACTTTGTTCAGAGTTAAGTTAAAAAAAAGTGTTTTTACTATTAGTTTCATTTGTAGTGTGGTAGCAGGTATGTGTCTTACTTTCTAAAGCAATGGAATCATAAGGAATTGAGCTTAGTATTAACGTTATATATACATATATATATATATTAAGTTTTAGTTCCATCAATAGTGCAGTCATCCAGTACTTGGTGCCAATTGCAGCTGCTATTACTTGATCTTAAGTATTCATATAGCAAGTATGCAGTTTCATGCACAAATAATTTAGTGCTRGGAGAGCATGAAATGAAATCTCTTCACTGTTTTGCCTATACTTTAATTCTGATTACATTTTSACAGTAATGTGCGTGTTTAAGTAGTATCAGATAGTACAATTCCAGCAGAAATAACAAAATTGCAGCTCTACTTTATCCTCTGCAATATAGAAGTGAGAACTAACCTGCGTGTAGATATGTTGCAAATGGGTCATATTCTGCTGGCTCCCTTATTTATGAAGGAAGAAACCAAACAGGGCTGGACTGATAGGTTAGTGAAGTGTATTGAGTTATGATGCAAATTTTTATGTTTCACTGTTTTCTTAACAGGATAAAATGATAAATTATATCTATATGTGATTACATATTTTTATAACTGGGAAAAATAATACTTGAAAATTACTTGTCCATGCTTATTGTACAACTGAAACAGCTTAGATCAGTGTTTAAAATCAAAATCTAAACTATTTTATTCATCTGTGTTCACTTCACAGTCTTGGTTAGCTTAACCTTGCAGTGCTTTGTGCTAATGATCTATTTACTTGCTATATTCACAGTGTTGTAACTTGCTTTTGTTTTTTATCTATACATTTAAGCAACTAAACACCTCTCAGCCTGAAGAGAATAACATTATGGTAAATGTCTCTTACATGCTCAACTTGCTGCATGTAAAATGGCTAAAGGTTTGTTGGCCTCCTGTGTTCATTCATTTTCCTGTCAAATGTTTCCTCTTGCTATCCAGATAAGTTTGGTCTCGTTTCAGATGTTTTCCATTCTAAAATGGATTGATATAATACACTAAATAGACTGAATGTCAGTACAGCCTTGGATGTTGTTTTTATCAGATTATTTCTGATAATTTGGAATATACAGTATTCTAATTTCTGTGATTTTGTGCATGTAAACTTAGGATACAAAGGAGCTGAKTTTTCATGTCTGAAATTATTTTCAGCTATTGGAGGAGAATTATTTAGTTTTTCTATCTTTTTAATATGAGTACAAGTGAATAACATGAAACAGCCAGGAATATGTAGAAATTTTTCCCTTCAAGCAGTGTATTACAAATAACTGCAGCTGAATAATGTCACAGAAGTTAGTGGCTTAATTTAGAGTACAGTATATCCTAAACTTGTCCTAAACTAGTCCTTGTTGCAAGGGCTCTTTGGTGCAGCTGGTTTTAGCACCATAGTGGTGAAATTGGAAGAGAGAGGGATTAATTAGTTATGTAGAGCATAGACTGTGCTGTCCAGCCTGTTCTGGTTGGGGTTTGGGTCTGCACAGCATATTGGGTCTCACCTCAGTTTAGTGTTCCAGATTTCTCTGCCATGATCAGATAAGAAAAGGAGTGAATAAATGTTTGTTTACAGTTTGTTCCTGCAATCTTTATACGCATTTCTTCCTACTCCTGATTGTGTCATCATCTTAAAATGGCAGAAGATGAAGGTTAAAAGTGAACCACATTGCAAGAGGGAATTGGAATAGCAGGCTGAAGTAATTAACTTTCAGACTAAATCCCTTGCAGTTCTATGATTTTGCTGTGCGACTTGATACTACTTTAATACTCAATTTGAGATACCTTTGTAGCATTTTAAATTAAATTTAGGTTTCAGTAAAAGTGCTTGGGAAATAGAAAACTAATGAAATTAGCAAGAGAAAGCATTCCTCTGTTTCAGTGTCAAAATGAGAATAGCTTTCCGTAGTTTTCCATTATTATAACACATTAAGGTAACTTAAGTTGCTTCTGAGGTCATTTAGTTTGTCTGATTCATGTAATTTTAAAGTAGTTATGTCTTATATTGTAGTAGCTTGTTTTAAGTAGATTCTTGTAATATATGAGTTCTACAAGTCACACTCTCTTCAGTATCTAACTCATTTCATACATGTAGTGCTATCCATATTYGTTATAGATTCATTGTAAATGGGGGGCTTTGGGCAACTGACTTGTAGCACTCCTTAAATCCCTGTGAAGTTCTGAGGACAGGAARTTAAAAGCCAGTGTGATTATATACTGTAATAGAGTACCACCAATGTCTTAAGTTTGTATGTTTTTATTTTTTTTCCTCCCCTACTCTTAATGCTGACTAGATATGGGCTGAGGAAGTGACAAAAGTAAGTAATCTATTTAAAAATTGSAGAATTCTGAAATCATAACTTGTGCTGGTCTGTAGTAATAAAGGATATTACATGTTATTGATTTCAGTCTGATGCTGGCAGCCTGATGCATTGCATCAGAAYACACTGGGCCCCTCCAGGGTCTTTCAGGTTTCAGTGCCAAAACAATACCTGGGGTTTGTTTGATAGTAAGCTGTTTCTGGCTCTCAGTACCAGTACCATATGATTCTTGTGTGACAAGATACAACAGACAACTACAGGATGTCTCTCAGAATTTACTGGTGTGGTAACCCCCTGTTAAGAACACGCTTATTTGTAAATTTTCAGAATAATTGGGTCTCATAATCTGAGCCATCCTGAAAACACTGATCTTCAAATTTTTACCCAGGACATGGAACACCACACCTTTCTCTCCAGTGCCACTGGATCTTCAGCAGCTGAAGTTAGGGGGTAGGCACATCTGAAAACTGCACCTGCCCTGAAGGCTAGTTCATAAACTTCTCATTAGCCTCAGGGTGGGGGTTGCAGCCATCCCTTGCACAGGGACAAACTCAGAGCAGCTAAGGGAATATTAGGCAATAGCTGCTCCGGTGCCATGAGAAGGGCCATTCTTAGGCTCACTGGCTCTGACAAACCAGTATTRGCTACAAGCTGTGAGGGGGTGTGCTAACAGTGAAGGAGAGARTTTCTGTAGAGAAGGGGTAAATTGAGTCAATAGAAGGGGGAGAGCAGGGGCTTTGGAGTATGGTTTTTGAAGGGGATCTAGCTAGGCACCTGTGGGAGGTATAGGGAGAAGCTGGGATATGCAGCTTCAAGTAAAATCTTAGGAGTTGTGGGAGAAATTAAGGCTTTTGCTCTTCTGACTTTCTGTGAGTTACGGCGCAAAAGCTGAGGATGAGTGTGAGTTCAGAGGGAAGGAGGCATTTAGAGTAAAAAGAGGGTTAACTGTAAAAGGAGGGTTAGGTCAATTTTGGTCCCAAAGTTTGAGAGTTACTTAATTAATAAAGTAAAGTAACATTTGAAAGCAGCAAGCSTGTCTGCTGGTAAACTCTTTTGGGGAAAAAATGGCAGGGAGAGAGTACTGCTGTAATGAAAACTGATCTTGAAGGTATTTGCTTTTCAGAGACAAGGACAAGCAATTTTAAGGATAGTGAAATTTAACAGATTGTGTCTTGGAAAGAAGAAGAAATAATACAAAGTGCTTAACTCTAGCTTAAAGAAGGCTAAAACTTTAACTCTAGTAATAAATTATATAATTCCAGGTTCCCTTTTTTATTTAGTATATAAATAGCAGAGACTACTGAGAAGAAACTACAACATTATCTACTGTCAATGGAGCAGTAATCCACCCACATTTTTAAAGGCAATCTGTCCTTCTGTGTTTGAGAGTTGGAGGAGGTGATTCGTAAATATGTTCAATTTAAATACAGGAAACTTCCCAGCAAAGATTTCAGACCATCCAGTCTTCTCTGGATCAGTTACAGGTTTGGGGTTTTTTTTTTGTGTTAGAATAAAAGATGTGCATGAGGCAATGACAAACTTACTTCAGTTTCTCTTCCTCTAACTCCACACTTCAGAAGGAATATTAAATATTAGGCACAGCTATATAGTGACTATCAGTGTTTTAGTAAAAGCATGTCTAGTAAAACAACCTTAGGAAGGTGATTTTATTTCATATCCTTAAAGTATGTTGTCCCTTTGCTGCAGGTTTGCACAGTATTTCTGAGAGGTCTTGTATTCCTGTGTGAAATCTGGGGAGATTATTTACATATGAATACTGGGTTTCAAAACCTGGGCTTGTATTCTGAAGTTGCAGAGCAAGTGTTTGAGGGATCTTCATGAGACATAGCTAATGAGGCCTTTTAAAACATGATAAAAAAAAAAAAGTGCAGCTGGAGAGTTTAGTCTTGGGTTTTTGAGCTCTTCACTGTTCAGAAACAAAGGTGATCAGGCCATAAACTTCCCATATTAAAAGTCAGCTGATTTTTCACCTTTACTCCAAGGTGTAGAATAGATATGCTGTTCTGGTACTGTTCACTTGGCAGTACTGAAAATAGGGGTAGGCAAAACTGATTAAACACATCTTCACACAATTCTATTCATGTAAATGTCTACATAACCAGCACATCAGGCTTTTGTAAATATATTTTAAGTCACTCTGTACTGGCTAAGTTAATATGCATTACCATGTTACTGGCTTTACCTTTTCTTACAGAACGTAGTTGATTTTCTAGAAATTGTTGAAAGAAATAGAGTTATTCTGATGTATTGTCCCCTTTTTGTAAGTTCCTATTCTCATGTATTTACTTACCTGACAGGGATATAGAAACACATTAGTAACTGCTGATTCAGAGAAGCAAGAGATTAAACTATTTCTCTCTGGATAAATGATTTACTTACTGTTTTGATGTTTTTTTTTAAAGAAAATTAAGATGTTTCTCTTCTTCCCCTCTTGGCCATCAGATTAGCTTTTTTCATCCGTTTGTACTTACATGTCTCTCAAAGATTGACAGATGGATTTCACTGATACTAATTCAGATTTAAYCAGAAAATTCCAAGCAAAGATTCTTTCCTCAACAAACTTTAAAAACCYAATGAGTTTGGAACTTGATACAAACACTGCAATTTCCATTTTAAGTAAGAAGCATACAGTTCTCTTTAGCTGCTTCCTCACTGTTTAATTGCTGTGTAAGCCTTTCCAGCTGCAGTGACTTCAGATGGAAAAACATTTCTTAGGTAACTCTATCATTGTTCTGTACTCTTTTCTGAGATTCCATGTGACTTTTCATACTTATTAGCATTAGCTGAATGCAAGAACAGAATGTTTGCAAGCACATAAAATGCTTCTGAAACCTGTGTTTTACTGGTATCACCTCATTCATTTTCCTGAAAACACTTTTCCTTCTTTGTTGAGAATAGTAACTCCTGCATCTTGGACTTAATGTAGATTTTTGCCCTGGGGTTTGTTTTTAGAAACAAGGCACTAAATGAGTATAAGCATTGAGGCAGGCTAGTCCAGATTCCAGGCTGAGGACATTCTGTCTGGGAACAGTGGATCTTAGAGTAGAGTACATATTGTGTATATAAGTGTTCAGCATCCTTTTTTCTTCCCCCCTGCCAAAGTACTCTAAAGTAATTTTGGCTGTGCTAGATTGGAGTAATTTAAAACTACTGTAACACTGATAACTTACTTAAAAATTGTTGAGAACTACATGTGACAGGGAATAAATTTGAATTATAGAAATATGAAACTTGTATTACATAATTTTAATAGAAATTTTACTCTAATTYTACACCAAGTGTTAGAACATTTGGTGTAGTTCAGATTTATTTATTTTCAAAGACTCCCTGATCACTAGTTTGGTGACCAGTGCAACACATGAAATAATGAGACATCCTAATAAAACTTAACATCAAAGATTTATGTACAGCTGATTGCTGTGGAGTTACATGGCAAAAATAAYGTGAGATTTACCTTGAATTGTTTCATCAGAGACCTRTTAAGCTGATGTATGGGAAAAAATGACATTATTCTTGACTACCACTTGTATGCTGACAGAACCCCTGGTGCAGAYGTGGTTATGCCAGTGAATACTTGCTTTGTTWYTGGGAGAAGTGGGGTAATACTACTGGCAAAGAAATGCTTTTCTTTTGCATATGTAGTCTATGTCTTTTAATAAAGCTGCTTGCTGTACACACTGGTCCTCAACAGTTCTGAACCCAGAATGCAATTACTGTTTTTGCCTAGTAAAGATCTGCAAAGAAAAAAACACCTAAGCTTGTGATGAATGCATTTGTGTGAGCAGTTCTGCATCACATGGGACTGTTGCAGTGGGCAGGTGTAGCAGAGAGCACTGTACCAGTACCTGACATGCATTCTTATTTTTAGTCTGAACAGGAAGTGCGCATTACTCAGAGTGAATTTGACCGTCAAGCAGAGATTACCAGACTGCTGCTGGAAGGAATCAGCAGCACACATGTGAGTACCCAAAAGATGTTGAGGGGGAAAGACAATATCAGGGCACTGTCTAAAAATAGCTATAGTAAACTGCTTGGGAACTCTGGTCTATGAGGTTTTGCTTCAGTGCATTAAATCATCAAACTACAAGGATTTTATTAATTCTAATTTAGCATCCACTGAATTTAACTTTACTTTCCCATTAACCATCTGAATGCAGGAGCTTTCATTTTTATTCTTTATACCCAGCTTCCCATTCATTTGAGTGTTGAAACCACAAAAATGTTTGCTCAAATATGTTAATTTTTGTGACATTTTATCCTGTTTGCCTGTTAAATCCAGGCACCATGCCTATGTGCCAGTATTGACATTAGCACCTGACTGGGTGCCCATTCTTTCTCACGTAGCATGGTACCCTTATAGACTAATCACTTGAATTCTTTGCTGTGTTACAGGCCCATCATCTTCGCTGTTTGAATGATTTTGTTGAAGCTCAGATGACCTATTATGCACAGTGTTACCARTATATGTTGGATCTACAGAAACAATTGGGAAGGTAGTAATACCATATAAACTTCAAGAAAAAAACTCCCTTTTTAATAGGTGCTTATGAATAGTAGGAAAACTTGCACTGATGTAACASTGGTGAACACACAGGCATGCAGGACTGAAAGGAAATATATCTATTCTGAGGTACTTAATATGGAATTACCCAGTGCAGCTACTTCCCTAAGCCTACACACAGTACTAATGCCTTTTGAGAGTTGATCTACTGGGGTTTTGTATATTTATAAATATAGTGTGATTGAGGAAGGTAAGCTCAATAGTAGTATCATTTAATGTGACAAAGAGGAGTTTGTAGAGATTTATTTGTGATTATTCTGTTGTCTTGTGCTTCATGCTACTAAACTGCTGCGCGATGTGGGAAAAGTCTTTATACTTTCTATAAATCCCTGTTGCCTCTTAATTCACTATAGGTGAATTATCTGGTTTTCAATGAAACCTTGTTCTCTGCTCTTAACTGAGTTGCCACCATAGGTATTGTATAGGGACTTCACAGTGCCTGTTATCCAGAGCACCCACAGTGGAATGAACAAGTTTGTCTTGTTTTACGATTTAATTRGTTTAGCATTTTTAAAATAAGAGAAGAAACTGACATTAGTTTATGCTCTTAATCCTTTTTGTGTGATTGGTGGGAATGCAGAGAGAGCTACATACACTTCATAAAGTTTCCCTATTCTAATTCTTTGCAAACCAGCCTTTCTTAGAGTTATACAGATCATGTTATTTATGTGAGTGTATGCACTGAAGGATTGCCTGTACTTAGAAGTTTACTGTAGTGTTTGTTCTAGGTAATGGTCTCTGAGGTATCTCTGTTTATGTTTTCCATGACAAGGAAGTAAAAACAAAAGTGTTCTTGAGTCTTATCCTTTTCCTGACTTGCAACTTCCTGTGGCATTTGATTTCCTCAGTTTGTTTGAATGTGTAGTTTAAAGACTTTTTTTAAACTTGAAAAAGACTTTTAAACTACTAAACTGTAGTTTAAAGTGTTTAAAGCTTTAAAGATGTAGCTTTCTTTTAGATCAAATTTACATCCCAATCTAATACATTCCGAATATTSCACTATAAAATGTGGTAGTACATAAATACATGTTATAGAATTGAAAGCTTGAAAACATGCATGGTAATAAGGAAAATACRTCTTAAATTAAAAATTAAGTGGAATATATTTACACAGCTATTTTGAGAGGATACTTTTAAAATGTGAACTCTTATCCTAGTGCATTTACCAAACYGAAAGCCTTAAGCATAATACCCTTATTCTAAAGAAGAACATGTTCCTCTTTAAATTCTGCTTTAGGATGTATAGCTTGTCCCAGAACAGCTGTCTTTGTTTAAAATCTGTGTATTTGAACAAAATAGTGCCTTTAGGAAAACAGAAGGACGTATCTTTATGTGGCTGTGATCTGATCAGTATTTTTAATAAAATTATTATGACTGTTAGAAGASCAAAAGCATGGAAGCTTTGCAAAATTCTAAGTGACTCAAACAGTGGAATGAAGTTTCTTTWCCCATGTGGATTAAAATAGTTATGGTATTAAATCTTGGGTGTGTCTTTCTTTCCTTGTGCAAGGAAGTCCCACTGAACTATAACAGAGAGCACTGGGACAGGGTCTGAAGTTGTGCTCCTTGCTTTGGAAGARTGTCTCCATTTATAGGGATGTGGTGTGTAGCATTTGCATTAAACAAGAAAATCAGTAGGGTTTGTGCTCTGTGCTCCCTATGTTATGCAGGCAGATATAGACCAAATAAGCAATTTAGGCAGCTCAGCTAGAGTTTGATTGTGTCTGCCAGAGCTGTGTTAGTTAACACATAGTGCTGAGTGACACATGTTCTTTTCACACATCTAAGATTGGTATTGTGCAATATTCTCTTATGAAAGCCAGGAACTGTGAAGGACTTTGTTTCACTTTGAGGTTGTTGATGGATCAGAGGTGTTCAGCCTCTAAGTGAGRTTAGTTTGTTACTTGAAACAGAAACCTGGTTCTCAGAGGAGATGCATGTTATGTTTTACCTGGGTCAGAATCCAGATAAACCCTGGATAAACCCTGTCCTGGTTCACATTGAAACTATTCACRTTCCAAAGCTGAGCACTGACCTTCCTGATGGACTCTCCAGAGGCTGCTGTAAGGAAGGTGGGGGGAAATGTTGTACTCAGTTCTCTTTATATAAATAGATACATTTTTATGGATGTTTCTCTTCAAGGCAGCACTGGCTGCTTATCTCTGTAGTGCCTTACCCTCCTCTGGGGCTGCATTGATTCTTTAAATCAAATCTCTCTTTTCTCTTATTTTCACTTCCTCAGAATGAACTAAACAAATCTATTTCAAATATTCTGGTACTCTGGCTGCTTTTTTTCTTCCTGATAACTGCTTTTGCTCAGAAGTTTCTCAACTTCCCTGACACATAAGCTTTGGTATAATTTTTTTTCAGATTATCCATTACTGGTGTCCTACTCTACAAGATGTGAAACTTCTGTTACTCAAGCGAGTTGCTCAAAAAAAAGCCCAAACCAAACAACCTCTGTTTAATTGAAGCCTTCCAGTAAAATGCCTACATATGGCTTTGCAAAAAGAGTGAAACTTTAGGTCCCACTGATTGACAGAGTGGTTATAAAGTTTCAGCTTTCTGTTCCACTGACCGTACAAACCTGTGACCCTTTGAACTGAGCAGAATGGCTTACGAGCAATTACTGTGTTAACTGAGAACAGGTTTAGCAGCACATTAAACAGCCATTTAGCAATATTGAAAAACACCTGATTGTCATTTAAAATTAAATCCCTCTGGTTGAATGCCAACTAAATCAAGTAATAAATACATCCTGAAACACAGCTGAGTTATACCTACAGAAATGTGGGGTCTAGTTTTGGCTCTCTTTGTTCTGCTTGTTTGATTTGTTGAGGGAATGTGGTGAACTAATTTGAAAAACTAATCTATCAAATGAAAATATAGACATTTGCTGGAGTTGGAGTCTCTTCTTGGTGAGTTGAACCAGCTCTTTATGATAAAGTGGCAGCAAGGTAAACCAGAGAGGAAGTGGGACTTCCTTCCTTGCACAATACTAAGTGCTAACTAAATTCAGAACAGTCTCCTGAAAATTTTCCCAATGTTTACATGTAATTCAGTCTGGCTGTCAAGGGGCTAGTGCTGTGCTTCATATTATACTGCTGCTCTTTCCCTTCAGTCAGATAGAGTTGTGTGACTGCAGGTTGAACATGTTTATAAAGCCTTTCTGAGGGAAAGTTAGCAATCTTCCTGATTTTTGGTTAGATCAGATTGTTGAATCAAAAGCCCCAGATTTCTAGACTTGACTCAAATGACAGAGAATGTGCATTTGTGCAAAGAAGGCGTACAGGAGTGGATCCACCTGTTTGGTGACACTGTGCATTTCCCAGGCTAAGTATACTGTAAACCTGTAACCTGTGTGCAGSACTGCTGCAGCTGTTACAGATTTGAGCTGCATTAATTCCATTATTTATTGCCACAGGAGCCAAAAATCAGTTGTTGCATTGATGGGTTTAATTTTCACTTGCGTCAGCTCCCTRAAACAGCTCCTCTTATGATCATGTAAGCATCAGTAATGTTGCAGACATGGTTATGGGAATAAACTGATTTGGATTTATGTGGGTGAAGTTGCCACTGAGCTGCACCTTCAGAAAGAATCGAACTGGGAAGCAGAGGTGGGAAGGGATGAGATGAGGCTGTTTTCCACGGGGTTCATGTGCATGGTATGGATAKATCTTCCATATGTCAAAAGAGTAGGCAAACAAAAGGATGGGGGAGGTAATATGTTAATGATATGTCATTAACATCCCAGATGTTAATGAAAAATCATCTACATAGGACTGATGAAGGAAGTTAAGTGCAGGAATTGACTKGTCAAAAGAGTGGAAGGAAATGTTGCTACAGTTCCATGTCATCATGACTCAGTCTCACTCCTAGCTGCTGACTCTTTTTTACTGTATCAGCCCTGCCACTTTTTAAAACCTTCACTGACCTATTCTTAAGGTAGAATCCAGATGAATGTTACAACAAAGTAGAGCAGCAAAGGGACAAGAAGTTASTACATCAGCTGCTAAAGAAATAAGTTTGGTCTGCCATGGAACTGCATCCTAGGATGTAGGGCAGAGTGACATGAGACAGTCTCAGAGCMCATCATTGCTGTTCTGTTCTTCCTACTCTACTGCCCCAAAATCTTTTSTTACTTTGCTCTCCTTTCTGCTGCTTCTACTTTTTAGTCATGTTATTCTGTGCTTTCTCTTGTATCTGCTCTGTCACTCATAACAGTTTTTTGTGACTGAGCTCATTAACTAAGTAGGAGATAATATACTTTTCTTCCCTYGTTTTCAGTCAGGTTAATGAGTTTAATTGACTTCATGGGAGGGTCTGGCAAACACTACAGCTGGCACTGAGCAAGTAGCAGCCTGACCTAGAAATGAGGAGCTTAAGTTGATATAAGTTCATTTTTAGTGTAAAAATATTTTTGTTTTATACCATGAAGTTAGCTGAATCAATGAACTGATTTAGATTACAAAAATAGTTGTKTGGTTTTTCTTGCTTTCAGAGGGAGGCTGTGTTTTTAAATTGCATTATATTTCCSTGATCTGGTTTGTCAGCACAATCCTTTGTGTAACCACATAATTGAGGAATGAGCAGGAGGAGGTGGAGGCTACTTTTCCTGGCATAGCTGTCAAAAGCAATGTTTATCAAAATATAGTCTGCATTAAGTTTGACCCACAGTGMTTTCTTGCTTTTCCCTTTTTTWARRRG